GCCAGACATTCATTAATGTCTTTGACATAGAAATTGTACAGGAGAGGACTTAAACATGAGCCTTGTGGAAGACCCATGTAGCTGATTCGTGCAATTTCCGAGTTGCCATGAGAAAAGCTCATTCGTTTCTCGGACAACAAATTAAACAGGAAATTGTTGATAATCGGAGAAAGGCCACTCGCATGGAGTTTGTCCGAAAGTATGTCGATGCAAACAGAACCAAACGCCCCTTTAATGTCCAAGAAAACTGAACCCATCTGCTGTTTTTCAGCATAGGCTTATTGGTTTTCAGTTGAAAGCAACGCAAGGCAGTCGTTCGTCCCTTTGCCCCTGCGGAATCCAAATTGCGTACCTGAGAGTAAGCCATTCGCCTCGACCCACTTGTCCAGACGAAGAAGAATCATTTTTTTCTAACAGCTTCTGAATACACGACAGCATCGCGATGGGACGGTACGAATTGTGATCCGAAGCGGGTTTACCGGGCTTCTGGATGGCGATAACTCTCACTTGTCTCCAATCATCCGGAATAACGTTGAGCTCAAGGAATCGATTGAACAAGTTCAACAATCGCCTTTTTGTGACTTCTGGGAGGTTCTTGAGCAGGTTGAACTTGATTCGATCAATTCCCGGAGCCGAGTTATTGCATGAAAGAAAAGCAATTGAGAATTCTACCATCGAAAACGGGGAGTCCATGTCATCGTTTTCCAGCGGCGGATCGCGAGTGTTGCATTGAACCGGAACCGAATCGGGACAAACCTTACGCGCGAAGTCGAAAATCCACTTGTTAGAGTATCCTGGGCGTTCTTTAACTGGGCTGCTTTTTAACTGGGCGTTCGTTAACTGGGCTGTAGCCCAGTTAAAAAGCAGTTATACGTTAACAATAGACGTCACATTTAGTTTGACATTTCGTTGTCATAATTGGTGAGGGGCATTCGAATGGAAGTTTAAGTGTTAATTTAAATAAATTTGCAAATATTTTCATTTCACACTGAAATCTAGACTTGAAAGCGTTTTTAGCAAAAGCGTTAAGCCTTTTAAAATTCGCGAGTATGAATGCTGTGAAAATAGCAATAACAAACTTTACACTACTTCAATCCAATACACGTGAATTTTTTTAACGTCGACCAAATTTTAAGTTTGTTTTTTTAGGTTGGACAAGCCAGCCCAGTTAGCGAGTGGAATTCGCTATCTGGACTGTACTTTTAGCCCTAACTAAAGTCACAGACTTTTAGAAATGGGGATGAAAAAATTAAATCGAATGCTCCTACTGCTCCACTTCATGGCTACAGTAAGGATTTTCCGCCATTACCGAACAAAGATAAGAAAAATTAAAAAAAAATGCTCCTCAAACTTCTCAAAAGAAATCTAAATCCGAACGAGGTTTGCTAGCTTTTTCGAACATTGTTGAATTCATATTAAATATGTTCAACATACAAGACCCTCTTAGAAGCATATTTTCTGCCTTGCTTCCAACATTAGAATAGTATCTTAAGCAATTGACTGTTTCATGGCTCCTCCTTGCATCAATCATATCTTTCAATGGATAATTCATCGGACGAGGTCGAAGATATGATCACTGTTCTACAGTAGAACAGCCTCAGTCTAGTGCCTAAACTAGACTCATTCAAATTTTTACTCCACAATTCTGATTGTGATATATTTGCTCTCTGTGAAACATGGCTTTCTTCCGATAAAGAACTCAACTTCCACGATTTTAACATCGCCTGGATAGACGATTCTTAAGGAGGAGTACTTTTAGGGATCAAATTTCCCTTCCTGCTCTATCAGGCGTCGAAATCGTCGCTTGTCAAATCAATGTGAAGAACAAAGACCTTTGCATAGCTTCAGTATATGTTCCACCAAGAACCTCCATTAGCCGTAGTCAACTCTGGAATCTAGTTTCGATTCTTCCATACCCAGTATTATTTCTGGGTGATATGAACTCCCATGATGCTGGGTGCCTCACGATGACAATAGAGCGGCTATTTTTTACGATTTATGTGACGATTTCAACTTGACTATTTTGAAAACTGGTGAAGTGACACGTATACGCAAACCTCCGGCACGAGAAAACCGACTCGACCTAATTTTGTGTTCAAGATCACTATCATTGGATTGTCTGTGGAAGGTTATCAATGATCCACATGGCAGCGATCATTTGCCAATCATCATATCAATTAAGTGTGGCCCTCAATCTGCAGAACCAGCTCGAGTTCCATTTGATCTTACAAGGAACATCGACTGGCTGAAATACGCTCTATCATCCTCTATCCCTCACCCAGCCGGAGGCGTTGGACAAGTAAAACTGCGAATAATTTGATCAAATCTCATGCTCCGTAATGGTGCCCTTTATATTGTGAAGACTAGTACTTCAAAAAGGGTAACTTTTGAGGCAAGACAGAGCGTCCTCAACAAGTTAAGGGCACGGCAAAACATCACATAGACGCTCTTATTCACACTAACTACTCAGGGGGTAGAAGGTCAAGAAGAGCCACCACCGCCAACTGAAGCTTGAACGGGTTCTCCCACGATATACCCACGGCAATGGTCGGCAGACGATACTCTATGCGTATTTAGTATGTAATATGTGTTATTTGGATTCACAAATTGTTTGAAGCCATGCGTCATCTAAACCATTATTTGCATCACCACAAATGCACTTTTCAACAATCTTCAACTGGGACGTACTCACCAAATCATTACACCCGGGAGCGCATTCCCGATGCTGCCACGTATATTTTTCTCTAGTCATTTTAAACCACTCCTCCTCCAGCGATTCCAACCACACAATAACTAAATATCACTTTAAGCGCTTCTTGTTCGCTTTTAGCATGAAGAGAGCAGTGAAGAAAGCACAGGTCTGATTATCGCAACGTTCGTGGTTCGAGTCCTGCCCGACACCCTTTTTGTTTTCATCATAATTAATTTCTTTCACTTATACACTCCACATTTTGCGGTCTTCAATTTTCTTGCATTGGACCGCAGCTCGGTTTATTTCATCCTGCGTTCATGGGGTCTCCACTAACATCCTGTGATGATGAATCCAAAATAATTGTTACCAAATCTTACTTCTCACCGGTAGGGTGCAGCTTCTTAAAAATTCTCGTCGCCTATATGTGTTGCGTATGCAATGAAATAAATATACAACCTTTTGGTTTGGTATAGTTAGTATAAGAATGATTTATAAACTCTGACAGTCATAGATTACAACTTTGTCATGGCTTGCTATCAAAAATTAATGATTTTGATATGAATATCATTTACCATATTAAAATCCAAGTGAGTAATAGAGTATAGATTTCTTCATGTGATTTAGTGGTGCAATTTCCAATTGTAAATGTCCTGTAAAACGTTCAGTTCGAACGTAAACAAGACCTCCTACTAAGATCGTCAATTTCGTCTGAAAATGCGTCTCCAACTCGATGTGATCAGACTTGCCGAAATTGGATTGCTTCGACGAACCTTTTACAAACTCCGAAGAAACAATTGGAGACACATTTCCTCCTCGTTCGACACTATGGGCAAGGCAGGTAACCATGGCAGACAATAAGGAAAGAGGCAAAAGAGAACCGTCATCACCACCGCGCGCCTTGGCGTAATGTCTTTGCAATTATCACATTTCACTTACGGAACGGCCTCTTTCGATCCCCCTCGGCAGCACCAACCAGCATAAGAAGAAGTCCCCATCATGAACATCGCGGCAACGGACTAAGCTATGTGTTTATGTGTTACATAGGAGCACGTACAGGTAGGCAGGCAGGCAAGCAGGCGGAAAAAGGTAAACAACACATCACCAGCAGCTCCAACAGCAGCAGCAACAACAACATTACATTTTGAACGTCGACTTTTGAGCGCGCGCGGATTCGGATGTGAAAAATTTCCATCTACCTAGCCTACCGACAACTCTAGACTAACATTTGAAAAGCCCTCGGGATTTTTTGTTTGTTGTTCCGCCTTGGTTCTTCGTTCGCAAATTTTGTGAGAGTGGAATTACGCCCGGAGATTTTTTGGTCTTCTTTTTGTTCGTTGTTTACACGTGAACTATCAACCGGATGCATTTCAAATGAATCGGGCGTGACTAGATACTGCAGAATCAAAACATTTGGCATATTAAAACGATATAATTCGTAGTTCTGGTGCAAGGCGTAACAACCAGATTAATCATAGAGTTGAAAGTTGGAAATACGCCATGTAAGAAGAAACGTTTTTGATGATTTGAAGTGATATTTTCTTCTACTTTTTCGTGTTTATCGAGTAGTTTGTGAACTATTCTCTCTATATGTGGCAAAATATGGTTTGTTTACATTTTGGCTCTTCCGCCCCTTTCAAATGTTAGTCTAGAACTATACTCCTAGAAGAGTCCATCTCCTCACCGGAATCCAAAGGAGGAGGAAGGTGGTTTATCTACAAACAAACATTCGAACGAACGAACGCAAAGTCAGACGGTAGAAGAAGAAGAGCAACCCGACGGAGACGAGAGCGAGCATAAACTCACCACACCACCCTTCTCTGTATTCACCATGGGCGCTCTCGCATCAGCGCAATCGGTAGCAGAAGAGCAGCAGTAGGCCTTGGGGAGTTTCGAATCATTCTCCGTCGGTTGTTGTTGTTGGTGTTGCTGCGACGTCGTTCACCTGGAGCAGGACTGATTGAAACTTTTCAAGAGAGAATCATCAAGCAAAAGAGAGCGCCGTGCACACACACTTTTCTCGCTCGGACTCGTCGTTCGGATCGGATTCATCATAATCACATCGACATCACGGTGAGTGCAGTCTGTGGGTGCGCCGAGAAGTGCGGAGACGGAACGGGAAAAAGCGAAAGCCTCTTCGTCGGTCGTTCTCGCTCCCCGGAGCCGTAGAAGAGCAGAAGGTTTGCTGCGTGTGTGAGTGCGGGAAGATATCGAAGGAGACTCCGCAGCAGCAGCAGCAAACAGCGAGGTGACGGGCGATATCGCGCAGCAGCAGCAGCATGAGAAACTTCTTTCTCAATTTCTCATAGTCATATCTGCCAAGACTGTCGTGGAAGAAACATCTCTTCTTCGTTCGTTCGTCCGTGTGGTGCGCCGACGATCACGCAGCAGTAGTAATTTTTGCAATTTTCATTCGGAAACGGTAACAAGAGGATCTTGCACATTTTGCATTGGACGCGCGCGCGAGTGTGTTAATATAAGATTGCAGACTTGATCGCCCGTCTGCCATTTGGATGTTTAGTTTTTAAGTGTGGAAGTTGTGAATTTGTTTCAAGTCCCAGAAACTTGTCAAGACTGGGAAGAAGCTGTGAGTTTTGTGAAGACAGCGAAATTAGTGAAAACAGTACAACGAAAACTACTGGTCAAAACGTGGGTGTTCAATCAGAAGTGTGAAGCAATCAAATCAGTCGGATGAAGCGAACGAGAGATTCAGTGGCTTGTTTTTGCAACTGAAAGAGTGATGAAATGATTGTAAATGGATTATGTGACCGAATCGGATGGAAAAGTGCCTTTGGAAAAATCCAGCGAGAAAAAATAAGTGCAATTTAAGATTTTAAGGAGAACAAACCAACAGTGAGAAGAAGCTAAAGAACTGAAGCAAGCAGCGAGAAGGAGCACTAGCCCAAGCTGAAACATTTACACGACTCAGACCGTGGCGGCGAGGAAACTGCACTCGAAGCTCAAGGTAAGTGTTTTATTTTTACCCGTCACATTTGCGCGCCCCGCATGAAAAACTTAGCAGGCGAGGAAGAGAAATCATCAGGGTCATCCGGGCTTCTCAGTAGGCGCGCGCGTTCGTTGTCTTGAAAGCGTACTAGACTCCTTTGTAGGCAACATTGTTGCCACATATCAGTCAAGATTGTTACGAAACGTCTCAGCCCGAGCGTTTTAAGGGGCGGCACCACACCCTGAGGCTGAAAAATTTCCTATCGATTTTTCTTCGCTCCGAAGGACGAGATATATCTCTTATCTAACTCTCGACGAATCCACTCCCGTAAGACACACAGCGGGACGAGCTTGTGAGTACACAAGAAAAAATCCCACCCGTTTCTGCGCATATTCCGTCCCAGCACCGACCACCATCTCCACCACCGCCGTCACTGTCGCCACCATCACCAGGTGAGAGGCTGATGAAATCACCTCATCATCATCAAGAACCCGTAAACCGTCAGCTCCCTTGCTTAAGCTGATCGGTAAACATCTCGCTGCCCCCACCCCCCTCCTCCTGTCCTCCATCGACATCGCAGTAAGCCCTTATCTCGTTCGCTAGTCGAAGCAAACAAAGCCAACTTCGATCTCGCTTATCAACACTCTTGGTATCGAAGAATGTGTCAACACACACAAATAGACCACAGCACAGCTTGCTTCGATCGAAAACATCATCATCACCATCATCATGGCCCGCCTGCTTGCTTCCTGCTCGCGCTCATCGTGCAAAGGGACGAACGAGAGTACCTTTTACAGCAGGTGATGAGGTAAGACCTCTCGACCATTAGCGCTGCTCAGCCGAGTCACACCAAAAATTTAATATTCTCGGAACGGGGCAGCACCAGATTTTGAAACGATTTTGATTCGATCAATCGCCTGTGCTGTGTGTGTGTGTGTTTTTTTAGCTCGGTGGGGATTTTCGAGAGCCGAGTCCGGGAGATAAGGCGTCGAAACCGTTTCTCCGATGTTTGCTCTAGATAAAACGCCCGGGGCGAGAAACCGACTCAGCTTGCGGTGAGTGAGAGATCTGATGATGGGCTGCTTTATCAGTTCGTTTCGTTTTGGCCGGGTTTGGGACCGCAGTGCCGTTGCGGTTGAAATATATATACATATAAAAAATGTGCGATAGTGTCCCCACGCCCGATGGATGCGCATGATCGATTTCGTCAGATGCTGTCAGAGTTTTGGCTTGACGATTTTGACAGCGCGTTACCCCAGATGGGATGCTTTTGGGCGGGCGTTCGTAGCCGCCTGATTGACCGCCTTTGATGATGACTCTGATTTTGCACGCTTATTTAATTTTAACGTTTTTAAATATTTAAAAAATAACGAGCGTTTAGAAGCTACGATCGAAAACCGTGCTCTAAGGATAGTTTACCAATTAAATCATTTATTGACCTGAGTTTGATGAAGTTGGCGGACAGTACTAGATGAGTTTTCTCAATTTACCCTAGGAAATTTTATCAACTGCGGTAGCTCTGTAAAATGAATGAAAATTGAAATTAATGGATCACATCATTCGAGCAGTTTAATATGACGTTTCCCACCACTCGAACTTTGCCGTGGAACAATGTTTTGTTTTTTTTTTCTACTAGAACCTCGAGAAAATGGGGTCTTATGTATGCTCAGCTTGAAAAATCTGGAGTTTATTGCCTCATTTTGGTCGTCTGAAAACTGCTGGACAATGTGATAAATTGATTATCTAAATTTGGATAGTCGATTCGTCGAGCTTGTATGCAAGATGCCGATGATTCTGAAGGATTTTTGTACTGTGGATTAGCACAAATGGAAATGTCACAAAACAAACTATATTGGCAACCTACACTACCCGTCATACGTATGGAATCGCTTGGAAAAGTATTGCAACACTCTTTTGAATATTACATCACCTTAAAAAGTTTAGCATCATAAAAAATGTGTATACTGTTTTAAGTACTTAAAGGGTGGAACGAGCAAAAAGTAGGCACACAAAATTAAGTGTAGAAAAAAATAATTTTAATAAATTAAGCATCTGTTTTATGTTATTCTGAAAGCCCTAAAATTGTACGGACTTAACAGTTGACCCCTTCCATTGAGTTTTGCACAACCTTATTGTATTGCTAAATTAAGTCATTTGACAATGTTTACTCCATTTTGTGTGGATTATTTTTTTAAATTAATGATTGTTTAATATTTTTAAAATGGCCGAAGTATAATGAACTTGGGGCGGGTTCTAGTATTTGGTTTTATACAATGTTCACGTAATTTTACCGCAATGACAAGGTGCGAGATCAGGTTCATACAGCTTAGGGTATCAGTGGTTTCTAATGCAAGGCAATGCCCATTTGTTCTAACACTCGCTCACGTAAATATTCTGGTTGATGATACCAGCTGTCTCAAAGACAATTGCTCGTCAGCTCACCAGTGCGAATAACCTGCCCGACCAAACAGTGTTCTTCAACATGTCGACTTATTTGTTTTGCTTAAGTTGTCCTGAGTTATTTCTCTTCCGGATGCAGTGTAAAATTCTTGATCATAAAGCTGTTGAAAATCGGCCTTCACAAAAAATTTAATTTAACGAATGCGCGTACGGAATTTTAAAATACTGGTTCTCTTTTTTGATAGCGTAGACACAGGCCTTCGTAAATCAACGTAAATCGGAGACAATTTTGAACGTACTGATTATTTAGTATTACTTCAAAATTTACTGAATCACTTCGGAAATGTTTGGTATCATTTTGGAAAGTGCTGACTAACTTCAGTAAATTTTGGAGTCAGTTCGGAAAGTACTGAATCAGTTCATAACAGTTTGGAATCCCTTCAGAAATTACTGAATCACTTCGGGAAATTTCAGAATCACTTTGGGAAGTACTGAATCATTCCAGAAAAGTTCGTAACTACTTCCGCAAATACGTTGGAAAGTACATTGAAATTTGAATCACATCAGAAAAAATCGGAATCACTTAGGAAAGTGCAGAATCAATTCATCCAAATTTGTGATCAATGCCGCAATTATTGAAACACGTCAGAAAGTACTGAATCATTGCACGCTTAACAGAAATGTACTGAATTTGAGTAGGCTACTTTTTGCTCGCTCCACCCTTTAAGGTGGATTCCGTACTGAGCGATATTTCACGCGCGGGGCGAGATTTTCCGAAGGTGTGAGAAGGAGAGAAAAACTAGTTGGCTCTCTCGTTCCGCTCCACTAATGCACGCTCAAATCTGAATACACCATTAATCACTTTTAAAAAGATCGGAATGACATCAGAAGGTATTGAACCGATTCAGAAAAGTTTGGAATCACTTCGGAAAGTACTGAGTCACTTCAGAAAAGTTAGTTAGCATTTCGGAGTACTGAATCACTTCTAGGGAGAACAACACATCCCCATCCATCCTCATCCCACATCCATTTTATTCTTAAATCTGCATTCTCATCCACATTAACACAACAAATCAGTAATTTTTTCTGTTTTAGACATCCCTTTTCTATTGTTCTGCAAAATATTCTGAACATCCCTGTTTATCCATCTGTCTATTCCGATCTATTCTTTCCATCCCGCTCGCATGCCATAGCAGCGCTGCCAAGTATTTTTTCGAAATAAAATGCATCCGAATGGGTGTCGTTCCCCCCGATCCGTTCTGAAAGTACTGAATCGCTTCGCAAAACTTTTGAATCAGTTCGGAAAGTACGGAATCACTTCGGAAAGCTCTGAATCATTTCAGAACAACACCGAATCACTTTGAAAAGGACTGAATCGCTTCATAAAGGTTCGGAACCACTTAAGAAAAGTTTGGAGTAAATTCGGATAGCACTGAATCACTTTAGAAATGTATCAATCACAACGGAATCATTCTGAATCACTTCAGAAAGGTTCGGAGTCAATTCTGAACGTACTAATTATTTGGTATTGCATCAGAATTTACTGAATCACTTCGGAAATGTTTGGAATCATACTTTAGAAAGTTCTGAATCATATCAGAAAAGTTTGGAATCACTGCCGAAAGTCCTGAATAGTTTCAGTAAATTTCGGACTCAGTTTGGAAGGTACTGAATCAGTGCATAACAATTTGGAACAACTTCAGGAATTAATGAAGCACTTCTGAAAATTTCAGAAACACTTTGGAAAGTATTGAATCATTCCAAAAAAGTGTGTAACCACTTCTGCTAGTACTGAATCACGTCCGAAACTGCATTAAAATTGGGAATCACTTCTTCAGGAAAACATCGAATCACTTTGAAAAGGAGTGAATCGCTTCAGAAAAGTTTGGAGTAAATTCCAAAAGTACTGAATCACTTTAGAAATGTTTCAATCACAACGGAATCATTCTGAATCACTTCAGAATGGTTCGGAGTCAATTCTGAACGTACTAATTATTTGGTATTACTTCAGAATCTACTGAATCACTTCGGAAATGTTTGGAATCATAATTTAGAAAGTTCCTAATAATATCAAAAGTTTGGAATCACTGCCGAAAATCCTGAATAACTTCAGTAAATTTCGGAGTCAGTTTGGAAGGTACTGAATCAGTGCATAACAATTTGGAACCTCTTCAGGAATTAATGAAGCACTTCTGAAAACTTCAGAATCACACTGGAAAGTACAGAATCATTCCAGAAAAGTTTGTGTCCACTTCAGAAAAAATCCACCCACTTCAGAAATGTTCGAAATCACTTCGGAAAATTCTGAGTCACTTCAGGAAAACACCGAATCACTTTGAAAAGGAATGAATCGCTTCAGAAAAGTTTGGAGTATATTCTAAAAGTACTGAATCACTTTAGAAATGTTTTCAATTACTGTGGGATTGTTCTGAATCACTTCAGAAAGGTTCGGAGTCAATTCTGAACGCACTAATTATTTGGTATTACTTCAGAATTTAATGAATCACTTCGGAAATGTTTGGAATCATTTTGGATCATATCAGAAAAGTTTGGAGTCACTTCCGAAAGTCCTGAATAACTTCCGTAAATTTTGGAGTCAGTTCCGAAAGTACTGAAAC